GTGTTCTCATCTCTCTTCTCTCTAACTGGAACACCTTTCCCCACTGAGTCATCTTGATGCCAAAATCTTGACTCTGTGCACCGATGCCGAACAGAAATACAGAGACAGAGTTATGGAGGAGAAAGAAAGAGTGGCTTTATTTCTTTGCCAGGCAAAGAGGGAACACAGTAGGCTAGCGCCTCAAGAACTGTGCCCCCCTCCCTGGGGAATAAGGGAGGGGTCTTATAGTCGGGGCTTATGGTCAGGGGTATGTGATAAGGATCAAGACAGTAACAGTCTTGCATTCTTCTTTATTCTGCAAAGTTTCAAAAGGGTGGGGTTGCTGACAAGATTAGGGTGTGTGCAGGATGTCAGGTGGTCTCCTAATCTTTTTATTTATTTTTATTTATTTTTATTTTTATTTTTGGCTGTCTTGGGTCTTTGTTACTGCGCACAGGCTTTTCTCTAGTTGCGGCAAGCGGGGACTACTCTTAGTTGCGGTTCGCTGGCTTCTCATTGGGTGGCTTCTCTTGTTGCAGAGCACAGGCTCTAGGTGTGCGGGCTTCAGTAGTTGTGGCACTCAGGCTCAACAGTTGTGGCTCGCTGGCTCTAAAGCACAGGTTCAGTAGTGGTGGTGCACGGGCTTAGCTGCTCCGTGGCATGTGGGATCTTCCCAGACCAGGACTCTAACCCGTGTCCACTGCACTGGTGGCAGGATTCTTAACCACTGCGCCACCAGGGAAGCCCTTGGTCTCCTAATGTTGATGAGCTTTTCTAGTCCCTTTAATCTTGCCTCAAGTGGTTTCCTGGCGGCTCCCCGCTTGATTAGCAAGTTTCTAATCTGCCCTTTGGAACTCAGGGAAGGTCATGGAGGCTGGAGTCTTGCCTACAAGAAATGGGGGACAAAAGGGCCTCCACACCTGGGAGCCCTATAGGGTCCCGTTAGGTTTCAATCTGGTTGCCTCTTCTCCAACCTTCAGGGCTAAGTTCACAAGTCACTTCCTCTGAGAAGCCTTCCCTCACCCCCGAAGCCAGGATTAAGGGCCCTGGGTTCTCCTGTAAACCCTAAGTTTACCACTTTCACTGCAGTTGCCCTGAATGGTAAATTTACTGTCTCCTTGGTTTCTGAAATGGAACCCAGGGGGTGAGGGGCTATGTTTTTTGTGTTTTTACTGTGCCTGGTACAGAGCTGGTGCCTAATAAATGTTCCTTGAAAGAGGGAATGAATGTATGAATGAATCTTTACAAGGAATAAAATATTGACCCGCTTCTCACTGCGACTGTATCATCACTGGGAGCTGAGTATAGATTAAGCCCACATGTGAGCCCATCTATTCATTCTGCTCTATCTCAGCCTCTCTACACATAAAATGTATGGCCCCAGCTTCATGGATGAGTTCAAAGGGTCCTGTGTTTAGTTTAACGCCCTGCTGTCGCCATCTTGAAATTCTCAATTCTTTCTGAATGAGGGACCTTGCATTTTCACTTTGAACTGGGCCCTGCAAATTATCAATATTAGCTGATCCTGAAGCCTTTTATGCACTCACTGGGATGATGGAGTCTTGAGTAATATTGGAAACCTCTGTGGATTCAAAGGCCCAGAAGGCAGCAGGCTGAGACTGTGCATTGCAGTGTGGCCACTTCCCCACCTTGCTAGGGAATAAATGGCTCAAACCCTTGTGCCCAGAGTTCCAATCCTATCCAAGCAGCCCCTGCACACTGGTGACCTCAGACACCATCTTAACCATGTCGGTTGTCGGAAAGGGTAAGGAAGCCCATTCTGAGAATAGACCAGAACCTAAATGTTTATGTTGTCAGCACCAATAAAAGGTACCTCTTATTTTTTCCATACAGTTCCTGAACAATAATGGTCTACTATCCCTTCTCGCTTTTATGTGACTTTCCTGAAAGACCCTATAAGTCAGAGGACACAATATTTCTTTTAAATCGATGACATTTTCCTATTCCAGGTAGTTTAAACAAAGCTTTGTCAACAAAGCTATATGACTGTTCCTTACAATTCCGAACACTTCTTGGTAACATTTGTTTCATCACATTCTATGCATTTTAAAAAAGAGAAGCAAGACCAGAGTCAAGGCTGTGGTTGTGAAACGGTGCACCTCAGATTGGGACATGAACCCCTGTGCCGGGATCCAAACCTGGCCAAAACCCACAGTCTTTCAACTGAGATCACACACCTGGTTTCAGGACTTAATGAAGTTCAGGTTCTTGATCATGTCTCATCGCAGAAAGAATTCAGTGCGAGACAAAGTGATGGGTAGGAAGTGGATTTATTTAGAGAGAAACACACTCCACAGAAGAGTGTGGGCCATCTCAGAAGGTGAGAAAGTCAACGGGGTATGGGGTTGTCAGTTTTTATAGGGGTGGGTAATTTCATAGGCTAATGAGTGGGAGGAGTATTCCAGCTATTTTGGGAAGGGGCAGAGATTTCCAGGAACTGGGCCACCGCTCGCTTTTTGATTCTTCTGGTCGGTCTTGGAACTGTCGTGGCACCTGTTGGTGTGTCATTTAGCTTGCTGATGTGTTACAGTGAGCGTGTACTGAGGCTCAAGGTCTAGCGGAAGTTGACTTGCCCGCCATCTTGGACCCATTTTGTTCTAATCAGTTTATGTCATGTCCTTGGGCTACGTCATCCTTTCAAAGGTTGTGCCCTGCCCCCTTCCCTCTTGTTTCAGTTGGGGATTTGATTTTTGTTTTCGTTTATTTTTGCTGTTTTTTAGTGAGAACCTCAGCCTACCGTGTGCTTCTGGATTTTTTTTGGATTTCTTTTCTTGGAGGGTAAAGTCTCATGAATCTTTTTTTTTTATTAACATCTTTATTGGAGTATAATTGCTGCTTTACAATGGTGTGTTAGTTTCTGCTTTATAACAGAGTGAATCAGCTATACATTTACATATATCCCCATATCTCCTCCCTCTTGCGTCTCCCTCTCACCCTCCCTGTCCCACCCCTCTGGGTGGTCACAAAGCACCGAGCTGATCTCTTTGTGCTATGTGGCTGCTTCCCACTAGCTATCGATTTTACATTTGGTAGTGTACGTAAGTCCGTGCCACTCCCTCACTTTGTCCCAGCTTACCCTTCCCCCTTCCCATGTCCTCAAGTCCATTCTCTACATCTGCGTCTTTAACCCCTCATGAATCTTTTAACACAGGATCACACACAGGACGCGGACTTTCTTTTGGAATCTGTTTTTATTAAGATGAAGCAGTCCAGGAAAGAATGAACTAAGAATAGAATTTAAAGCAGAAGTGTGGGGTTTTCACAGATTTCTATCAAGAGGATATATGGTTCTTTGATGCTGATAAGAATCCTTGCTTTCACTTCTCCCCTGGAAGCTAGGGAGCCAGGGAACTCAAGTAATCACAACAGAGCAGCTACTTACGGGGCTTTGAACCCCGGGGGAAATTGCTTCTGTGCCTCAGTTTCTTTATATGTAGAGTGTGTTAACATAATACATCATAATATTATGCGCTTACTGCCAGACACTGTGCTGAGTGTTTTACATGCACTTATTCATTCATTCAAATATTTACTGAGCACCTACTATGTGCAGGCATGCCTCTAGGCTCTGGGTATATAATAGTAAACAAAGTCCCTGTGCTTCAGGATCCTACATTCAATGAATCCACCCAATGACCTTCTGATGTCAACGTTATTGTTACCCCTATTTGACAGATAAGGAAATTGAAACTAAACGTGGTTAGGTAAAATCTTCCCCCAGGGAATTCCCTAGTGGTCCCGTGTTCCACTGCAGGGGGCACAGGTTTGATCTCTGGTCAGAGAACTAAGATTCCGCATGCCGCGGGTGGTGCGGCCAAAGGAAAAAAATCTGTCCCGAGATCACACATTGTAAGCAGTTGAGCTGTGATTTAAGCTTTGTACAGCTCATCCCTGGGCTGTGCAGTGCCCCTGAAAAAGGAATTAATAGGAACAGCCTAGTGGGATGTTTCAAAGCTAAAGAATGAAAAACTGGTAAGGGCCTTAACTGCAGAGAGTCCCCTGGGAATTTGAGAAAGTGTAAATAAAGGAGCCGGGAACACTTTCACCACTTTGTGGCTTGAGGACGGAGCTAAGGTTGGCTTGGAATCTTTCCCCCTAATCTAGGGCAGGGGCGGCATGTCACTCATACAATCATCTACTTTTGAGGGTCCCATGGACGTATTTGGGAAATTCACGTGTATAAGGGATACTACCCTTTCCTCCCTTTCGTGTTTGTATGGAATCCTACAATAAGAGGAAAACACTGGTGTTTGCAGAGAGCAGGTCTAGAAAGTATAATCATTGAAAGGGTGAACTTCATTAACTTCTGTCTGCTTGCTACACACACGCCTCCCACCCCGCCGCACACAAGTTGACTAAGGACCGTCCAGGTAAAAGGGACATTAACACAGTACCTGGCACAGAATATTAATTCAGGAAATACGTGGAAAATGAGTGATTGAAAAATTCAAACTCATAGTCACATAACAAGCAGCCAAAGCAATTACGCCAGACTCAGCACTTCCCAAAGGCTAACGGGATTTTTTCAAGCACTCAGCTCCCACTGGAAAATTCAGGGCAGGTAAACATATCCTTCAGTACTTTCTTTGAAATGCAAAGACTTGCAGATAAACGTGGACCTCCAAGAAGTGGGAGCAGATTGTTTGGCTGTCATTTTTCTTGGGTTCCTGAGAAGTCAAAAAAGTACAGAGGAGCCCCAGGAAGATGAAAATCATTGGGGTGGAGACTTCCCAGTCCAAAGGGCCTCACTCTGCCTGAAATAAAAATATTGACTTACACTAGTTTCTATTTTCCAAGACAAGTAAGAATTTAAGGTCAGAGGGTAGGCTATTAAATTCACTAACTCCCCCAGAGAGAGAACATGATGGGTTTAAACATTAGTACCTATTAACTCAGCCATTTAAAAATACACAGGAGCCAAACTCTTCTCAACCCACCACCCAACACACACACACACACACACACACACACACACACACACACACACACACACACGCCCCTGTCACTGGAATCAAATCATATAAATGCAACCGACTCACTTCTCAACTGGAACCTTCCAAAAAGACATAGTGATCTGAATTTCGTATCTAACAGAGTGAGGAGGATACAGCTAAGAAAGAATGGCATTTTCAAAGCTCTCCACCTCTCAGCATGAATTATTTCTAAGTCGCCCATGGGTCTCCCTTGATTTTGTCCATCTGTCTGTTCTGGTGCCATCCATCACATTTGGAGATCTCACTGCACGTCGGATTGGCTTTGGAAGCTATTTGCCACACCGATGCAACTCTTGCGACAAAGGTTTGAAATGGACATCTCTTCTGGCCTCTTGGAGTGTCCTAGACGCTTAGGTCTCAAACTGTGGATTTTGAGCTTGGAGTAGAATTTGGGGAACGAGGGACTTGAAAAATAGTACACCAGGGGGTCCAGCATGCTGTTCACGTAGGTGAAGCTGAGGGTGACGTGGAGGGCTACGTGGACAGAGGGATCGCAGGCGCTGGTAGGCACTGTCCAGAGGAAATACAGTCTGGCTGACACGCTGGGCAGGTAGCAGGTGATGAACACAACCGCCACCACCATGATGAACCAGGTAGCCTTCTTCATCCGAGTCTGCCTGGCCAGGTGCTGCCTCCGCTTCAGACTCCAAATGATCTTGAAGGAACAGAACAAGATGATGCTGAGGGGCAGGAAGAATTCCAGCTGGAACATGACGTCGTGCCAGCCGTTGGCCGACTCCATGATGAAGCTTTCACAAGTTATGGTCTCCTCTTGCACACACAGATGGTTCTCCGTCAAAAGATACAGAGTCCCCAGGATGACCATGGTCCAAAGGGCACAGACAATGCCAACTGCAGTCCGGTTGGAGATGGCATTCACCGTATGGTGGGGATGAACCACTTTAAAATACCTGTCCACAGCCACCACCGTGAGGAAGACGATGCTCCCAGCCCTGTTCGTGGCCAGCATGAAGAGTGCCACCCGACAAGGGATGTCCTCAAAGACCCATTGCCTGTGTCTGCGGTAGTAGTCTGTCCGAAAGGGCAGGCAGATCATGAGAAGGAAGTCGGCCACAGCCAAGTTGAAAAGGTAAATAGTACTCGGCTTCCAGGTCTTCATGTGAAAGCAGAAACCACACAGGGCGATGCCGTTGCCCAGGGCGCCCAGCACAAAGGCCAGGATCAGCAGCGGCGGCATCACCTGGGAGATGGGGTCCCCCTGGATGAGGCAGCACGACCTGTTTTCCATGGTGGACAGAGGACCAGTGTTCTGTGTGTTGGGCTGTGGAGTTCCCCCCAAAACACAGATGCTTACCTGAATGCTCCAGCTGCTGCGTTTCCAACTTCTTCACCCTGGGACACAGGTACCACACGTGTGCATGGATGCAGCCACTCCACGGAGAACAGAAACTTCGGCCAGGAAATGGGAGACTCAAGGTGGGGGTTCCTTTCTCTGGAGCCTGGGTCACAAGCTGCCTGTCTCCCTGACAGCCGAAGCATGTAACACCCCAGGGCTTTGAAACGCGGGTAACTTCACGCAGTTGTCATTTCTGGGAAGCAGCTGGCAGGTCTGAGGAGATTCGTGCTGGAGAGGAGTAGTTGAGTCCTGTCCCAGAATGATTTTTATTTTCAGCCTCTCTCTTAGCCGGAGAATAAGCAAAGCTGCCCAGGAGGAGTGAAAAAACAGCTTATTTGTCCTCCCTCCCGGTGGAGAAACACAAACATTTCCTGGAGCCGTCCTGGGTCTCTGCCTGCACTTTCCTCCCTAACCTTTGCCTGACTGCTGTCCTCTCCCTCATCCTGTGGGGCGCTCCCGGGCCGTGCCAGGGAGGGGAGGTTTAGCTCTGCATCTCCTCAGGGCCACTTCCTATGCCAGACTTCAAAATCAGAAGGATCTGAGGAGGAAAAAAATCCTTAATATAGCACTTGCTGGCTGTTAGAAAAATTCTCTGGAGTGAGTCGCCATTCCTCTCCCCCACTTGCACCTCCTACCCTTTGCATTCTTCCTTGGAGCCAAGTGACCAGTTGTACCACCACCAAGACCATGAAATGGGTCTGAAGCCACTTCTCACGTCCATGTTCACGAAACAGCCTCTTTGGGAGCCAGGTCCTCCCTCTGCCGTCAAAAGAGGATTTGGCTCTGAGGTTCCCAAATTCCGCCGCTCAAAAGAGCAGAGTGCCATGACCTGTATGGTTTTTTTGTTTGTTTTCTTTTTTGGCTGCACGGCATGTGGGATCTCAGCTCCCCAGCCAGGGATCAAACCCGTGCCCCCTGCGTTGGAAGCGCTGAGTATTAACCACTGGGCGGCCAGGGAAGTCCCTATAAGTTTTAAATTTTAATTACGCGCTGAGCCCATTGGTGGGGGAGAATGAGAGATGGGGCAGTTAGTCAAGGAGTTTATCTCAAAAACGATCATTAGTAAAATTAGTCTGCTCCCAAGACCAGAGTCTTTGCTAAACTTCCCTGTCCTTTGGCTTTAGAGATGATCTGTCTGTCCTTTCAGCTTTCAGTTTAGGAAAGGGTGAGGGGAGGGCGTGCACTGAGAGGAGGAATATGCCTTCTTCCAGAACGCTGGTGAAAGCTAAATTCTTCCCCCTGAATCCTGGACTCCAAATCATCCCAACAACCTTCCCCTCTGTCCCCACCCTAGCACGGATCATTGTCACCTCCCTCCTGTTGAAACAGTTGAGTCTCCTTGCTTCTAGTCTATTTTCTGTAATTCCTCTCCCACTCTACAGTGTGATTTTTTTCTAAAGCACAGATATGATCATATCTTTTTTTTTTTTCCCTTAAAACCCTTCAGTCTGCCAAGGTGATAGCTGTGTGGCCTGTGAGCCGTATCTGGTTTGAGAACCAGTTTGACTTGACCCATATGTTTTAAAAACCTAGGACTGTCATATAAAAACCTGGATTTCCAGGGACTTCCCTGGCGGTCCAGGGGTTAAGACCCCGCGGTTCCGCTGCAAGGCGCCTGGGTTCGATCCCTGGTCGGGTAACTAAGATCTCATGTGCCACACAGCATGGCTGAAAAATTTAAAAATATATTTTTTAATTAAACAAAACAAAACAAAAACACACCGGGATTTCCAGCCTCTCTTGGAAACTGGAAGATCTGGTCACACTGGGCCAACCATTCCTGCCTGGTAACAGTTTGCCAAAGCTGAGAGTAGCTGCACCCTTGAGACAAGGCGAGAATCCCCATTTTGCCACAGTCCTCACCCCTCCCTGTTACCTGGTCAGCTTCACTCATCGACACGCCTAGTCTCTGTGGGATTTTAAGTTTGTCACCTCTGCTCCAGGTTAAAGGTCAAGTTCCTTGGGTTGGTCTACAAGACCCTTCACAGATGGTTCCCAAACTAATTTTCCAGTGTCATTCTCCTGTCACTTTCCTCCTCACACCCTACCTGTGAGTCTCTGAACTTCTTACAAATAAATGTGTCCACCAAACAGCTACGTTTAGCTCCCTCACCAATCCAAGAGGTCCTTGGAGATAAAGTCCATGTTCTTGACAGTAAGGGCCTAGAAGAAGGATGTGATGATTAACTCCTACTTTTACTGAGAGCACATATCCTCCACTTTCACTCTGTGGACCTTTGTGATTCTATAAGAAGATGCTAACTGATGGAGGGGAAACTACCGTAGGCTGGAATGCCCCAAAATGAGGCTGGGTGGGTGACCCTGAGTACTACCTCAATATGGTCAGGCTGGATTTTTCAACAAATGGAAAAGATTCTTCCTTCTGGGTCAGCAGATACCATCGAGATTCTTGTAAACACTAACACAAGTGTTTCCCTTTTCCCGAATGACTAACACTTGCCTTTTTTTTCCACATCCTTTCTGTTTTGTCGAATCACCTTCCACTCCCTCTCTCTTCCTCCCTCTAGAGTTAGCAGGGGATTAAGGAAGAAAAGATAGGTTTCTCTTTCTCTGAAAGTCTACTGCTGATAATAGGGGAGGCTGTGAATGTGGAGGGTTTGTGGGAAATCTCTGTGTCTTCCCCTCAATTTAGTTGTGAACTTAAAACTGCTCTAAAAAAAAGTCTTAAATTTTCTTTAAGCCAAATTTCATTACTGTTCTTATTTTTACTTCTAGCTACCAATTACAATGCCTGATATAAAATAGAGGCTTGGGACTTCCCTGGCGGTCCAGCGGTAAAGACTCCACGCTTCCACTGCAGGGGGCGCGGGTTCAATCCCTGGTTGGGGAACTAATATCCCACATGCCATGCAGCACGGCCATAAATAAATAAATTAATTAAAAATAGAGGCTTTATTGATTAAAAAAATGCTTACTCAATGAACCTCTGAGGTACTTTATCTAGATGCTTCAGGATCCCCAAAATGAGGAAGATGTTATCTGCTGTCTGGGGCTGAGTGTTTACTAGGAGAAATAAGACAAGTGCATAAATAACAAGAAAGGAAAAGCAAATTGAATAAGCGGTTTAAGGCAATATTTTCTACAATGTGGTAGACACGCCACAGATGACACGTGAGATGATTTTAGATGATGGAGAGTAATATCCATATGGACTTTGACTTTATAGCTATGATTTTATTTTAATATGTGTTCGAAAAAAATACAGCTGGTTTATTGGAGTTTTGTGAGTGGGGGGGATGAGGGAGAGTTGTTAAAATTTCTAGGGGCAGAAATAGAAGGAACAGACATTCCGGAAAATGAGCAGCATGGAAAAAGTAAGGTGGAGGGGGCATCTGAGGAACATTCGAGGAGTCTGGAATTTGGAGTCTATGTTGCAGAATCATAAGGAATAAAACAGGTCACGTTGAGTGGGGCTGTTTTGCAGAGGACTTTGAATTCAGTGGCAGGGGGAACCTTTTTTTTTTTCTTCTTTTTATACAGCAGGTTCTTATGGAGGAACCTTTTTTTTAAAAACTTATTTAATTAATTAGCCCCTGCTCGCCGCAACCAGAGAAAAGCCCGCGCGCGGCAATGAAGACCCAATGCAGCCAAAAATCAATTAATTAATTAATTAATATTTAAAAATTAAAATACCCTTTAGTAGTTACTAGAGGAAGGCGGTGGGGGAGGGGGAATTGGATGAAGATAGTCAAAGGTACAAACTACCAGTTATAAGATAAATAATTCTTAGGGATGTGATGTATAACACAACAGATATAATTAACTCTGCTGTATGTTATAGATGAAAGTTGTTAAGAAAGTAAATCCTAAGAGTTCTCATCACAGGAAAATTTTTTCTGTTTCTTTAATTTTGTATCTATATGTGATGATAGATATTTACTAAACTTATCATGATCATTATTTCATGTTGTATGTAAGTCAAATCATTATGCTTACGCCTTAAACTTCTGCAGTGCTGTATGTCAATTATATCTCCAGAAAACTGGAAAAAAAAAAACAAACCCTTTACACAGCAGCCATGTGATTGTTGTCCTAATGACCCTTTTATAAAATGTGGTTTGGGACCAATCAGATTATTTCTTATGAGAATCTGACCTGAGAGACACAGGTATTAAGGGTTGAATCATGTTCATGGTTAAGAGGCGGGTGAAGAGCTGTGCGCTGGTGTCCTGGGTCTGCCCACGCCTGGTTGAATTCTCTCTTAGTTTCTGTGAGAAACACCGCTATATTTCTTCTCTCTTTAATTTTTTTGCTTAAGTTAATTTAAGTGTGTTTCAGTTACTTCATCCATAAGCACTTGGAGTTAAACAGTTATAGTAAGGCATCTTCTCCCTACCATGAGAAAGGAAAAAAATAAAAAAAGAGGAATTTCCAGTAACACAAACAACCCAGCCTCAACTATTGAAGAATTTCATCAAAATTTCCTTTCCAATTTGAAGAAGTCACCAATTTGATCCAAAGGATGGGGGAGCAGGCGATGATCCATATTTCCGTTGGTTGGTAATTGGTCAATTTCCAGTACCTAGTGGCTTCACCAAGGCACTGTGGTTAACCGAATCCCTCAGCTAAATTCTGATTGTAGAAGCAAAGTGGGGGAAGATAGAGGCGAGCTGGGCTTGATGGACCGTCTGTGAATCCAACTGCTTGTTGTAAGCAGGAAGGTCAGCGGATTGACAGACCATAATCAGGAAGTATTTTGACTATTAAACCAAAAGGCATGTTAAGGACCAGAATACTAGGTGCAGTTTGAATCCCCTCCCGTCAGGCAAGGTGCCCTGGGGCAGATAGGCTAATAAACTTGGAAAGGTAAGAGAGTTCATAAAATCAGAAACAAAGACAATTTTGTACCCCTGATTTTATGGTTCTGGACTTAGGGGTAATCCCTCTTTTTTTTTTTTTTTTAACCTACACCATGCGGGATCTTAGTTCCCCGACCAGGGACTGAACCCGCACCCCCTGCAGTAGAAGCGAGGAGTCTTAACCACTGGACCACCAGGAAAGTCCCAGGGCATTTCTTTGGGGGCAGCTAAAAGGAAGTCCTACTTTTTTACATTGCAGAGAGTAAACTCATGGAACTCATGACCCCAAGAACTGGTACCCTCCAAAATATAAAGGAAGTAATGAAAAAGAGATGTGTAAATGATGATAACTGCCCCTTCCAATATGTATATAGACACACAGACATGCATACATATAGTTACACACACACACACACACACACACACTCACACGTTGTACCACACACAGTTTGAGACTGAGTAGAATAAGCCATTGGTTTAGCCCAGAATGTCATTGCTTGCTCCCTTTTAAAATTAATGTTGGCGGGCTTCTCTGGTGGCGCAGTGGTTAAGAATCCGCCTGCCAGTGCAGGGGACACGGGTTCAAGCCCT